TGAACAAACATTTGGAAATATTCCTAAGTCCTGAACATTGTGCCCCCGGTGAAACGTTAAAGTAACTAAAGGTTACTAGTAGCCGAGGGCTACAAGGGGCAACGTACTTGGAAGAAAATATTCCAAGTCCTAAACATACATTCAAAAAGGGCGAAGGCATACACTCAAGAAAAAACGACGGCATACATTCGAGAGGAAATAAATTAAAGAAAGCAAGTCAAATACACAAGGCCTGAGGGCTAACATTCATCAATCATCAAAAAAGAGTAAATGTGATTGTTACAATGATGGCCGGGGCCGAAAGCATAAGAATGTGACCATTACAAAGTGTGTTCAAATTGCTAAGTACAAATTACAAATCAAACAACGTCACTCCCGGGGGCCGCCTCCTCCGATGGCTTCGAAGTGACCTCTGCATCGGCCTCAGGTTCGTCACCCTCGGCTTCCTTCCGGAGCTCAGTATCCTCCAGGTCTGGCCTCTCGACATCGGAGGGGAGAGAAACACGGATGTCTGGCTGAAGGGGGGAAGCCCGTATGCCGCCGGGTCGAAGTCCTTCGGCTCAATCTTCAAGTGGCGAGCCATCCTCCGATAGATGAGGGCTTGGGTGAAAAACTCGCCCCCATCATAATATTGTTTGCCCTTTCGGGCCATCCATTCCTCTCCCGGGCCCTCGCACCACTCATCGACGGAGGCCTCCACAACCGAGGACAGCCACTCCTTGTGTCCTTCGGCCTTCCACCCCCCATCCAGGAACCCGGAGATGGCCTCCTCCCGGGCTGTGACGACAGCTTTCGTTCTGGCGGCCTCGACCTCCTCGGCGGCTTTCCTTGCGGCCTCCGCAGCAGCCTCCTCAGCTTTGGCTTTCTCCTCCCTAAGCCTTCCGGCCTCCGCTCTCGCAAGCTGGAGGTCCTCTTCAAGCTGGGCCATCAGCTTCGTGGCCTTGGAGTCCTTGAGAATTAGCTCCTTCATCTTTGCGTCTTGCCCAACTTTGTGGAGGCGCCATTCCTCCAGCCGTCGGGCCTGCTCCCCGAGGGCAATGCAGGTCTGCAAAAATAAAGGAGTTAGCAGGGCCGAACATGATTTCCTAGTTCAGAGAAAAGAAGAGAAAGATAACTGTCATAGACTTACCGTGAGGGAAGACCGGAGGATCCTGTCCTCGAGGGATTGGTCATCATCGGCCCCGAGGGCTGCCCTGTCAATGTCAAGGGTTATACCTCTCAGAAGCGCCCTCGGGTCAGCTGTGCCATTCAACACGGCCGTACCAGCCGGGAGGGAGAGCGTAAGGACCTCAAGAGATGGCTCCCGGACACCCCTCGGCACCTTCTTCGATTTCTTGGTGGGCCTGGGGGGACTCCTTTGCCGTCGGTTTCCTCTTCGCGGCAGCAGCGTCGCCCTCGGGCTTCTTGAAAAGCGCACCGACGGGCTTTTGGCCACCCGCGTCCGACCCCTTCGGATCCTTGGCCGGCTTGTTCTTGAATCGGGCAAGGCCTTTGACGTTCATCATATTCACTGGGATACCTGCAAAAACAATGTGGGGTTAGAATCGAGGGGTCACTAACAAAGGGCATAAAGAATAAAACGAACGAGCAAATGAACTATGTGCTAAGATATGAAGGTGAGAGTGCCCTCAGCCACTACCTCCGGAGGCTCCCTCAAACACCGGGAACTTCTCATCTGTTTCCCCCAGGAAGCGATACCGCCGGAACCCGAGGGTGTAGAGATCTCCCTCTTTGGTGCACTCCTTAATGGTAATATTCTTGTCCCGGCCCTCCGGGATCATGGCCAGAATCCTGCCGTCTTTCTCGAGGGCGACGCTCCTCCTCTTCTCGTGCCTCCTGAAACGGTCGCGCAACTCCCTCGGGAAGGGGCTCTCGGTCAGCTTCACGTAGCACCACCGGTCCTTCCACCCTTTGTTCGAGGAGGGCGCCTCAGTGAAGAGCTTGAACATGGCCACCTACTGCAAGTTTGCGAAGCCCTCGGCATTCGCATGCCCCCCCCCCGGCATAGATTAAAGCTCTGGAAGAAGAGGTCCAGGCTAGGCGTCACCCCCCGGGACTTGCAGAGCTGGAGGAAGCCAGTAATGTAAGAATGGCTGTTCGGGGTCAGCTGGCAGGGGACCAGACCCACGAACCGGAGGTACTCCCGGAGGAAAGGGTGCAGGGGGAAGCGGAGCCCCATGGACACCGAGAGAACATGCACCGCTATACAGCCCTCGGGAGCCCGGGAGAGGACGTCATCTGGACCCGGTGTCACTACGGTGGCCGAGGGGCCCACGTGGAGCTGAGTGACGTAAATGTCCGCCGCATCAACCTTCGACCTTATTTCCAAGGCGGCGGTGTTCAGGTAGGAGTACCCCCTCGGGCATATCGAGGGGCTTCCCTTGATCTGCAACGCTGCCCTTCTTCTTGGGAGCAGCTACCTGGGCCTTCTTCTTTCCGGGGGCCACCCGGATGGGAACCGCGTTCAGCGGCCGAGAGGTACTGGCCTCACCAGCACCCCGAGGGGGAAGGACAGCCACGGTCACCCTCGTCATCTCCTTTGCTTCCTCCTCCTCTGCAACCTGCATGGCGAGGGCCAGCTCTTCGTCTTCCACCTCCTGCTCGAAGCCCTCGGCTTCAACTTCAGCCAGCAGCTCCTTCTGCACCTCTACTGTCATCGCAACGTCCTCCTGGGCAGAGGACTGTTCGTTTGAGGACTCCAAATCCGAGAGGACTTCATCCTTCATCGAGGGCGCCCCCGAGATGTCTTGAGAATCACTCTGTGAAGACATTGTTGTACTAGGTCGAGGGTTCGGGGACGCTAAGTGCTCTAAGCTACCTACCTAGTCTAAGGCCACAAATACAGCTAGCTAAGAGGTAAAGTGCGAATGGAGAACTGACCTTAGAATCTGATCGAGGGCTGCTCTTTCTCTCTCTAGAAAAATTGGCAGAGCTTCGCTATAAGAATTTCGCACAAGGAGGAGTGCCTGGCCTTGGGGTATTTATAGGCGCTGGAATCTAGGCTTGGGCCTGGAAACCGGGCCTCCGGATGGACCGTCATCATTACACGCCGTGTCTTCGCCCAACCGGTGACGCCGCCCACGGACAGCCAATCATCACGCGCCACGTGTACCCCCCCCCCCCCCCAACGGCTATATCCTGACGTTACATATTCCAACAGCTACATTTCCAACGGCTATATTCTGGGAGCCCCCGGATTTTCTTACTTCACTCCACTTCATCAAGAAGAACCTCCGGGTACACTTACCCAGAGACGCCCCCGGGTTGTGCCCCACACAGTACATAACAGTCGCCTTCGGGATCACTCCTTCAGAAGCCCAAGGCTTCATATCAGGCCACCCCTCGGGGATTCCCCCTCAGCACTGTAAGGGCCGGGTAGCCCCCGGGGAGTATGCCTCATTGACGGATAGCCTACAGCACACAGGTAATGGGAGCCCTCGGATATCCTCATCACCAACTAATCAACAAGCAGGGGACACCCCGGTAACAATTCAACTACTGCCCTCATCCATCACGCCCTCGATCCCCAGATTGAGGGGCCCCCCCTCGGCACCTCCCAGGACATCAACACATGAGCCCTCAGAACAAGGAGAGCCTTCGGCATTACCGTTATTCTCCATTTTGAACCAAGGTTTCATGTTTTCGATTCATCGTTGGGGGAATTCGGTGCACTCTTTTTCCCTCATTAGGATTTTTTTTTCCCACAGGGTTTTTCCTAATGAGGTTTTTAACGAGGCATCCCCCCAAAATGAAACGAAAAGATCAGCCTTCGGCCCCATGCTACAACGGACTAAACTCTACTCCTTTTCACCACTTTACAAAAGCCTCAAGGAGTGAGGGACTGGAGAACCCCTTCGGGAAAATCATTAAATTACAAAAATGGTGAAAAATTCCAACAGGCGGCAAAGCAACCCCTCAAGTCCCGACATGTGGGTAACTGAGGGACTGCCTTCGGCAGGGACATGCAAGCAACAACTCCTCACCAACCTCAGAGATTACAACGGAACAACGGCAGGGGACAAACACAAATTACTCCTTTTCCCTCAAGTACCTTTCGGCAAAAGGAGTGAGGGACTCCTGATGGAGTATATGGCCCGAGAATACCTGACCCACAGACTCCTACTACTCCAGTAAAGGCCCAACAGGCCCAGAAGGCCCAACAGGCCCAAATCACAGCGCCCAGAGTACCAAGCAGCCCGCAATGCGCACCAGGGGTGCCTTCGGCCCCCTGGCCGAAGGCTCTAAACTCTCACAGAACGAGTTTCTCAAGCAAACTAAGAAACTGGAAAAAACGGCAGAAAACAGTAGCCCTCGGCACCCAGGGGTCCCCGGCACTCAGAGCCCTCGGCTAGTCCTCTGCGGCCGAGGGCACCTCTCCCGACATAATATCCGCGTCACATGCGTACAGATCACCGTACCCTGTACAACGTCCCATCCAACAGCCGCATTAAATGCGGCCACATGCGGCTGCCAGTGCCAACCAGTTGAGGTGACCTCTCGACCAATGGACGCTTGACACGTGTCCCTGCCCGGCATTTATTGCTACTATAAATAGCACCCCTTTTCCCCATTTGTAACCAATTCAAAAACGTTGCATACTTTCTAAATACACTTTCTCTGACTTCTTCTCTTGTTATTCCCCGCAATAACCCCCGGATAAGCTACCCCCGGGTACACTATCCATCAAATATATAAATATTTATGTGTTAATACTCATGATATATGTATATTACACCCGTGCAGAATACTAGTATATATGAAATTAATAAAATTAAGTATATTGAAGATGGCAAGAATGTATAGATGATAAACCCTATTTTGGGAAATGCGGACTTCTCTCAATTTAGACGGTTCTCAGTTTCAGACCAGATTAGACCAGACTTCCATAGTTAGATCGATTCAGACCACACCGACAAATTTCAATCCAAAAGAAAACAGACGCAAAATCATTCAATCTCCCTCAGACAAACCCTATTTTGGGAAACGGGGACTTCTGAGAAACGGCATGTGCCAATTTTGCCAAGTGACGGCTTGCATTTTTTCAAGCAGAATCAACATCAAAGAGTGGGATGACATGACATGCTTCATAATAAATAATACGAAACACTGTTTAATAAAAAATGGAGTTAGGGCCTCAATCGAGACACAAGTCATACAAGCTCCAATTATTTGTTCTACTTTTTTTAATAAATAGAAAATGGAGCCCATTACGGTAAACAAACAAAAAGACTCGCTCAAGAAGAAACACTCTAGTTTCTAAAATAATCATAATAATAATAATGACAGCAGAATAACTTCAGCATCAACGGTGCTCTCAGTTTGAGGCAGCAACCAGTGCCATGTGCTCTATCAAATCCAAAACCCTGTTGCTGCATAACATAATAGCCAATTATGTCAGCTACCGAAGATATTTTTTGTTCTCTGTGAGCAAATAGATGCATGTTATGTACGTGTGCAGTACCTGTAGCCCCATTCATTATCATACCAGGACACCAGCTTCATCAATGAGTTGTTCAATCCCATACCAGCTTTTGCATCGAAGATGCTTGATCTGTTTTGTTGTAACACCCACACATTGGCAATTATTATTACTTTTTATTATCTATTTTCAGAATGAATAACACCAACAAATTAGTAATTGGTATTACTTTTTATTATCTATTTTTTAATAAATAATAGAATATGCATGTTTCGGAATAAAGAAATGCAGGATTACACCAACAAATTGGCAATTTGTTATTACTTTAAACTATCTATTTAATTAATGGCTAATTGACTATACATGTTTCAAAATAAAGAAAAGCATGGTGTCACCTTGAATCACCAACAAAGTCATTTGATACGACATCTTCATCGGTGTATCCAAGAATGCCCATTAATGGACCTTCTGCTGCATTCCTGTAGACATGTGGCCCAGTAGAAGATGAGAAATACAGAAGTAGGTGGGTGGGAATAAAAATAAGAGGCATACCTAATGGCTTCCTTGACGTCCTCATAAGAAGCACTCTTCTCTAGTCGACATGTTAGGTCTACAACGGAGACATTAGGTGTGGGAACACGGAATGCCATTCCAGTAAGTTTTCCATTGAGTGCTGGAAGAACTTTTCCAACCGCCTTGAATTAAATGTAAAATTAGAAGAATGTGAAGAATTTCAAAAACAATAAGTACCTAGTCATAAAAACATCTAATTCATTAAGTTATACCTTTGCAGCACCAGTTGAGCTGGGGATTATGTTTTGCCCAGCTCCGCGCCCTCCCCTCCAATCCTTCATTGAAGGTCCATCTACTGTCTTTTGTGTGGCTGATAAAACAAGATGAAATTTAATAAAATTATACATTGAAAAAACGGAGAAAATAGCATACATTTGACTTTAATAGACTATAATACTGACAGAGAAAAAAGATAACCTGTGGTAGCATGTACAGTTGTCATTAAACCCTCCACAATACCAAACTCTTCGTGAACTACCTGCAACAGCAAATAAATAAAATAAGCACATTTGTTAAGGCCATAGGATCTACTTTTCCTTATGGCAGGCTATAGAAGCAGTACAAACCTTGGCCAAAGGAGCAAGGCAATTGGTGGTACAGCTGGCATTGGAAACGACATCCATGCTTGTTTTGTACATCTTCTCATTGACACCCACCACGAACATAGGTGCATCAGCAGATGGAGCTGAGATTACAACCTTCTGTGCACCACCCTAAAGAAGAAAACATGAAACCTGAGCAGATGCTTTATAGATCATTTGATACGGACAAAGGAAAAAGACTTATGGAAGCTGGGGAACCAATAAGAAACAGTAATTACTGACCTTCTTGTGCACGGATGCTTTCTCCACTGTTGTGAAGATACCAGACGACTCAATCACATAATCAGCCCCAGAGTCACCCCAAGGAATATCTGACGGGTCCCTGCATTGCAAACAGTGTAGTTTGAGTATTGACAATTGCAGCAATACAACCACTGGAAAAATCCAATCCTGACCTCTTGTTTGTAACGTTGATTGCCTTCCCGTTGATTTCCAGGGTAGATTCATCCAAAACCTTGATGATCCCATTGAACACGCCATGGGTGGAATCATACTTTAACATGTACGCCTGAAATAGAACAAAATATCATATATCTGTAATTTCTCCAAATCACACTTGGCATGCAAATCAATGATCATCAGACAGAAAAGATTGCATTCTCACCATGTAATTAGCATCAATGAAAGGGTCATTAACGGAAACCACATCAATGTTATCCCTCAGTGTTGCTATTCGTAAAACTAACCTTCCAATCCTCCCAAACCCTGCAATTTTTTTGAAATTCTTCACATTTTATATTAATGGTAACATTTTATGGAACCAATGAAGCAGGCAAACATACCATTTATCCCAACCCTCGTCTTCTCCGGACTATGAAATTCTGAAGAAAGCAAACGAATATCCGTTAGCAACATGTTTCTTATAGAATGTTTTTTATTTTAGCTATAACTATAGAGTTGAGCTTTATACTTGGAACTGTTGGAGGCAGTTCTGTTGCTGTAGCTTTAGCAGGACGAATGCTATGGGAGCCACGTCTTCTATAGGAATTGAACATCAATGTTAGTCAAATTAAATCATGCCAGATTTGTAACTACCAAACCATATAGATTAGAGAGAGAGAGAGAGGACAATACAACTGCAAGGAAGATGAATGGAGATTCGGGTGAACTGAACCAAAGACGCTTGATTCAAACTTTATAGAGTTGGAGCGTTGATCTATGGCAGCCAAATATGCCTAGGTGAATGAATTTTAATTAAAATCGGTGAAAATACAGTATCAAACAAAAAAAAACAACTTTAAGATGACCATAACTCCATAAGCTTAAGCATCCACTTACATGGTACTCAAATAGACACAAAACAAAACAAAACAAAACAAACCAAGGCATAAACTATTTGAAAAGGTTTACAGAGTCTCGATTAGATTAGCCCGGAAAGAAGAGAGCATAAATGTTATATGGAAAACGGGCAGCCAGGAAGGGGGAAGAGAAACACAACAGAAGGATAAACTAAGTTAATGTGAGAAGTTTTGTAACAAAAAATCTGAATCGCCAAATAGAGATGAGCTAAGAAGAAGGTAAAAAAAAAAGACCTGGGAACGATGGGAAGATGAAGAAACGTTCATCAAAGGAGATGTAGCTGCCGCAGATCTGAGCAGGAGAGAAGAGGAACCCATTTCGCTTTTCCGATGATGAGTATCGAACACCAAATGGATCGAGCAGAGATATGCAAGGAAGCAAAACCCTAAGGAGAATTTTATACGGAAGGACTGTCTCGCTGAGTCTTCGGGCTTCAGGGGGGAAAGAGAAAGAGAGCCCAGAACTACAAAGCGACCGTCCTTCCATGCTTTTTAAATATATACACATACACGTAGTATAAAATACGGAGTATAAAATATTATTATACGTCAACCGACACCGCTGCTCCGGAGATTCTTAAGCACAAACGAATCTACATGGAGTGAAAGAACATGACAAGTTGACAACTACCCAAACCCGACCTCTCCCCATCCCAATATTTTTTCTATGTAACAGTGAAATGAGATTTAAATTATTTAGGTTGTGATTGAAAAATAATGAAATAGTATGCTGGAATGAAGGATAAATCCAAAGAAAATAATTGTAATAGTGTCTTATTTTTAAAATTATTGAAGGTATGATAGAAAGATTTAGAAATGAGAAGATATGAATGTTACAGTTAAAAAAAGAAAGTGAGAAGATATGAGTGTTACTGAGGAATTAATTTATTAGGTTCTCAACATCTATCTATACACTGTTGTGCACATGAAAAATGATTTATTACACATATCCTAAATTCCTTGCATAGCTCTCGTGAGAAACTCCACTAATTGGTTAGACACATTCAAATTTCGAGCAAGAAGTTAACTCACACACTACTCTTAGAGGCCAGATCGGTCACTAATTGCTCGACCACTTAAGTTAGTACAAGGGGCTAAAGGCCATATCTAATAATGTCCTCTCAAATTCATCTTCCTCGTGACTTAAAATCAAGACCTCACTCAGAAGAGACCTTAAGTGTGAGATGTGGTCTATTTGGACCATTCCAACTTGCCACCCCATCCTTATAATTGGTCTCTTGGAGCGACGTATATGTAGGAACTTGGTATAGGAGTCATCTAACTCGTATACTCGTGTAGTATAACCAACTCTCATATACTCATATGCTTCATGTATGAGTAGATAATAGAATTTGTACACAAGTGACTAGGTCTAACAATGTATAACTAGTTGAGTAGGAATAACGATATGGAGTTCTAACAAAAGAGAGAGAAACAACAAAGTTCAATGGCATTTGCAACAATTAATCGATACTTTGCTTCAATCAAAGCTAAGAGCAGGTTATTGTTATTCGTGCAAGAGGTAGAGAAGACATACTAGCCTTGTAAGCTAACAAAGGAAGCAATGGAGGTATACTCGTCGGGATTGCCTGCACCATCGGCGTGTGGGAAGACATTAAATGAGATTGAAGATGATCTAAGTTAAGATGATCTGTGTACAAGAATATCATGAACATACGCAATAGAGTGAGCGCGGTGAAGTATGAATAATGATATGCCAACCTTGGAATTGATAAACTTGACTCGTGGAAGATTTTTTTTATTGTTGGATCTAAAATGGATGCTAGTAGGCCGTTTGGGAGGCTACGACGGAATATCTAGGTAGGAATTGAGAGATGAACTTAGTAATCTATAGAGAGACTGGCCGTCGATTCGTATAACAAAGGCTATGTAGACGTACAGGTGAGTTGGTGGCCTATTTATACATGTTTACAAGACGTGACCACTGATTAAATACCACATGGACTTGGTCCAATTTGTGAGATAATGCTAATGGGTCAACCAATCCGATTAGGAATCGGGCAACTTGGGTCGGTCCTAGACCTGTCAACTCGTATCTCAAGCCTGGTCATTTGGTCAAATTGCTCCCGAGTCTTCAGTTGAATTGGCCATCAATATATGATTCGACCCATTAACCTAACATGAATTGTCATCATCAAGAAAGGCAATAAACGTGATGGAAGACGGGCTTTGTACAAGAATACCATGAACATATACACCTGAGTGAGGATAATGGAATAGGAACAATGATATGTAAGCCTTAGAGTCACAAATACATTGTTTTCAATGAAGTGAAGCACGATAGGGCTTTGGGAGCAGCACTGGCGAAAATAGGGAATTCCGGCATTACTGCTGGCGAGTTAGATGGCAACAAAACATCTGCTTTGATCCAATTCGGCTCCATCCTTGTTTCCTTACCGGAAGAATCCCTGCAACTTACGCAATCTGTGCCCAAGAACGCTCTATCAATAGGAAGGGTATGCAATGAAGGAGACGGCCAGATCCAAACTCGGACTGCGACATCTCTATCTAAGATGAATGAGAACATCCGAGATCCACCAATATGGTGGGGCCTCAGCTCTGGCGAAAACAAGGCCTCGACTCCAAAGCTCACAGATGGCGCTGGTCGACGACAAGGTAAACTCAAGGCTGGTTACGGTGGGCGAGCGAACAGACAAGACTTCTACCTCAGGGTTGGCACTGGTTCACGGTGGACTGCGACCAGACCTGCAACGAGACACCGGCTGCTGCGAGACCGTCATTTCTTCCATGCCGCCGAGTGATGGTCCAAAATCCAGATGACGCCAGTCAACAAAGCAAGATACGAGTGTTTTTTCAAGCGTGGACTGATCAGAAATGAGACTCAACCCAACCCCAAGTCTAACAATTTGATTCATCAACGCAGGCAAGTATCTACTAGCAGTTTCATTCCTCGCTCAAATGGGTTTGAAATTGCAATTGAAAGAAAATCCTTTGCTTTCAATATTATTAACTGCAATTCCATTCGGATTGATGAAATCAAACGCAGAACTTTGTCTGCTATTGATTTTGATTTGGAACGACTTTCTTGGTTGAAAGAATTCATTCCCAAGATTTGGTGTAATTGGTCTTGTCCTAGGGTTGAGCTGAATGATTTTTTGATACTATATGATGCTAATTTCTATGGAAGTTATATATGCATCATTAAAAAGGGAGGTGGTTCTCTGTTTATACCGGAAGGACGAAACGGATTGGGGATCAAAAAATTCCTATTTTGGATTTCAAAAGCAATTAACTTGATGAGGGAATTGACAACCAAACAACAAATTTTGGTGATTCAACAATTTGCAGATACCGTTGACTCCAAGCTTGAGATTGATCTTTTTACTCATTGGTTGGAAGGGAATCACTTTCATCGAAATGAATCTTCTATTTCGGGATCATTATTGCAAGTTGATATTGAGCTTAGTACTTCATTTGAGAAATCTCCAATGATGCCAAGTACAATATGCCTTTTGAGACCATATACACTTTATGGGAACCATACATGGATAAGGTTTTATAAAATCATAAAAACGGGGGTGGGGGTGGGGTTGGAATACATTGATAACACTTTAATCTCCAATGAGAAATCTTACCAAGGACAACTGTAGCTTCGTTGATTTACCGGAAATTGGTTCCCTTAAATATTTTATCCAGACTACTATGACTAGCAGGGTGGAATCACTTTCCCGATTTTTACTAAAAGAATTTGAAAGAATGCTCACCTCTTTTTTGGATAATCGAGGTGCTAGATTTGCTGATAATGAGAAAGCTATTAATAGTTTGAAGGTCACTTTCTCGGGAGATGCTTTCACAAGTAAAGAATGTTATGACTATGAGGGTGTATTTGCAGAGAAGATATTATCATACTCAGAAGATGATTTTATGGGCCATGCCTCGGAGAACGAGAAGAGAACTCCCATTTCAGCAATTGAGGATTTATGGGACTCAGACACAAATCAGAACATTTGCAACAAAGCTCGGTTTGTCACGAAGGATAATTGTCTCCCACCCAAAATCTCAACACTCAAATGAAAATATACAGAAAAAAGCATCAACGATCACATCCCATGAGAATGAGGTCTCAATCATATGTGGAGTTACATTGACAACTCTAGGAAGGGCGTTTTTTACTTGTTCTTAGGGCTTTAGTCTATCTTTTTCAGCTTTTCTCTTTTTCTATGTATTTTATAGGTTTTTCCTTTTCACATTGTACTCTTCTTTGCTCGTTTTTTAATAAAGCTTCCTTTATTTGCAAAAAAAAAAGATATGTAAGCCTTAGAATTGATAAACTTGAGTATGAAGAAAAGCTTTTACGCATGATACCAAGTACAATATGCCTTTTGAGACCATATACACTTTATGGGAACCATACATGGATAAGGTTTTATAAAATCATAAAAACGGGGGTGGGGGTGGGGTTGGAATACATTGATAACACTTTGATCTTCATATTGGAATTATCTAGAGAAACAACTGAGCAGAAGCATACCTAACTCTATTGGAGACGATCTTTACAAATCTGGAGATGGAGACTAGGGTTAGTGTCCTTTAGTTGATACGCGCCCTTAGAAATTATCTCACTAACAGTGAGATGCAGAAAAGATTGAATGGTTGGTGTATTCAACTAGGGACCATAACACCTCTACTTATAGACAATGTGAACTCTAATCACCCTATCATTAATTAGGAGTAAGCTCACTGGTCTCTAAACACATGGGTCCTATGTTTTATAAGACATCATATTAGCCCATTAAAATTAATATTCACGAGACCACTATTTTTTGGGGGGACTAAATACAAGATAATATATAACGTTCAATTAAATCCAATAAATAATATATTGTGAATATTACATGTAGTATGAATTTATTAATCTAACAATATCCCATTTGGGCGACATACACATGTATACACATAATCGTTGGTATTTTATGTTTACTTTATGAGCTCCAAAATCTTGCCATCAAATTGTACTCATCTTTAATCAATCTAATCCATCAATTGCATCAACACAAGACCAATGTTGTCTTTGCTATATTTGCACAAATCGACTCATCAATGATCACACATACTAATATATTCAACGACATGGGTCAAGCATGCATGGGTGTGTAGTGTGGAAATAACATGAAGTGCCATCTAGAATAGAATGTCTCTTTTTCAATTGGTCCACCATGAGATCAATCATATAATTGTGAGAGTACATAAAACTTAAAAATTTATTTCTGCATGAAAACAGCCTTAAAAACTGAAGTAACCAGACATAGAAACGTTTAGAGCTGTCAAACGAGCCAACCCGGCCTGACCTATGTCTGTTTATGAGTTTAACGGGTCAGGTGGACCAACCCGTTTAATGTCGGGCCAGAGTTTTTATTAACCTAACCCAGTCCACGGGTTTCGTGGGCCAACCCGCGGGCCAAATATTGTCAAAACAAAAAAGAATTAAATATCTAAATTAAAATCTAAACACAACTAAAGTAATAAGATATGTGACTGCCATTGACTTCATAACTCTATAAGTTCAAAAAATTGTGCATAAGTTTAAAAAACAAACACCATTACAAATGTTGTAAATTAAACTCCAAACAAAACACGTGATACAATCCAACAATAGTCTTTCTTTTCAAAACTTTCTGCAAAATTCAAGAGTCCTTCATTAATTCCATCTGCAGTCCAATTTGGAGCTAAAATATCCATCTCCAAATAATCTTTGAGCTAACGGTGGATCTGAACCACCAACGGTGCTTTCATCATATGCACATATTGGATCAACCATTCAAAATCCAACAATCGCATAGCCTTAAAAAACAACACCACATAAAGAGATATAAAATTACCATTATCGAGAACTTTATATCTCTTTAACCAGTTACGGGCACATAATAATGTTTGGGCACATGCAGGAAGAATGCAACTTCTGTACTTAGTCAAAACATGAGAGTCAATGCTAAAAGCCGAGTCAGGTGCCACTGTGGTGATAGGAATACTAAGCACATCACATGTCATTAATGTTAAGTCGCCATATCGCATTTTGTGATCATTGCAGTATTGCAGAACATCCATATCATAAAAGTATTTCATCTGAGATCTCCCTTCTTCCAGGTACGTATCTAAAGTTGATTTTCTATTATCCGTTAATTTGGCTCTCAAATGCAAAACATTTCTGCATAATTTCGCAAATAATGTAAAATAACTAGTAAACTAATACAATCACATTAGACCTTATGTTGAAGATTGACAAGCTTTTGCCTTGTTGCCTTATGACAGTTTCATGTGTAGTTGGAGTTACGTTTGAAGAAGTAACAAGTGTGGATTTACTCTTGTACCAGTCAAAGAGCAAATACAATTTATCTTTCACAAGACTCAACTTTATTGACAAGTGTTGGGATCAAGTGTTTCGATACAATGTTTCAATAGCTCAAACTTCATTCTTGGATCCAAAACAACCCCATTGCCAAATGATACTATATTGATTCCAATTTTTGGCAAACTCCACTAGCATATCACATGCCATGTCTTTGACTTTTTTTTATCATTGGAAACAATATTCTTCGTGAGAAAACCTTCAATCTTCCAAACATGCATAAAATACAAATTTGAAGTATGATAGCTGGATCTGTAAAATAAGTTGGTGATTTCATTAAATGGCCCCAACACTTCACAGATTCTTTGGTCTCTTTCCCATTCATCAGGAGAAGGAAAACTATTATATTTTGGGTCATTCAGTTTTAGGCTACTAAATGCACGTCGATGCTTAATAACACTCTCAAGCATTCCATGAGTGGAATTCCAACTTTCTTGACACACTCATCAAAGATGATTTCTCTCCTCTGAGATGCTTTAACATATTTCACACTCTCCCGAAATTTCAGCAAGACACTGTTAGCCACTTTGAATCCATCTTGTGCTATATGATTCAATATATGTGCACTACATCTTACATGAAATAACTCACCATTGCACAATAAAATGATAAATTATTGTGCGAACAAAGTTGTTCTTTCAATGTGTCTTGCATATTATCACTAGATGATGCATTATCCAATGTAAGAGAAAATATTTTTTCCTCCGACCCCCACTCCTTCAAACAATCAAAGATCTTCTTAGACAACTCTCTACCAGAATGTGGAGGAGGCATGGAACAAAAAGATAAAATCTTACTATTTAGTTACCAATTCTCATCAACATATAATGAGTTGTTAAGAATATATATACACCTCGTTTGATATTGTAGTCCACACACCAGAGGTTAAAGAAATTCGACTAGGATTTTTTTATAAATCTAGCCTCAAAATTTCTTTTTGTCAGATAAAACTTGATAACATCAGAGGCAACAATGTTTATACTAATGCACTTGTAATCTGAATCTAAATACAAAAGCAATTCTCTAACCCTCTTATACTCTACAAAGGAAAATGACATGTTATGCTCGATGGTGGCCATAGTTATCTTTTCTCTAACCACAACATCATCATTTTTTCTTCCTCTTAACTTACCTTCTGTTGGGTGTGTTTCGAAAAACAAAGAAAAATAATTGATAAAAATTAATTAATTAAAATGACTAAAGAAAACAGAAAATAGATGGGACAGAGTTTAGCCAAAGCTCGTGTTACGCACGATGTCCTTAAAACGTATTCGTCGCCTCCCACGGTGCTAGGAGCATTGCAACGACCGTTTCCCAGAATATGGTGGCTAACGAACTAACTTTTGAGCACACAAACGAGAGTTCCGGTGAACGGGAACAAAGTAGAACACTCAGGAATTTTTTCGGAGTAGCTGAAGTGTTTTTAGCTTAAGAAATTCGTGAGGAATGTATTGTGCGTTGTGTTTTGTTGTAAACCACCTGCCAGCTATTTATAGGAGGATTTGTTGTGTGTTAAATGGAGTGTTAATGGACCTGAACGTTGGACATTAATGACCAGTCCGTTGGTCATTGAGTCGTCCATAAACTGTCCATTTAACTCAGCATTAAAAGAAAAGAACGTTGGACATTTATTGCTGTAACGGCTTGGAGCAGTTCTGGTGCGCGACCAGAATACCCCCAGCAGAAGAGGAGCAGTTTTGGTGCGACCAGAAGTCTTTTGGTCCGAACAGAAGAGGAGCAGTTCTGGTGCGAACAGAACTCGAGCACTTCTGTTCCGGACAGAAGCGGAGCACCTCTGGTTGCGAACAGAACTCGAGCAAATCTGTTCCAGACAGAAGCGGAGCACTTCTGGCCCCGGGAAAAATAAAACGTTACGGGAAGATAAAAATTAAATCGTATCTTTGAATGATAGATTTTTGGACGACATTCGTGTTTGCAGGTCGCCCGCGCACACGAATCGCGGTTTTTCTTCTCCATTTTCGGGATTTTATCGGCACCCCCCTGTGCGAAAAGAGAGCCTTTCCCCTAAGGAATCTTAACTCCTTCTAGGTGGGTTCCCTTTATAAAGGGGTGAAAATGTCACGCCCCGGACCTACCCGGACACGTCAACAACCCGCCGTACAGTACGAATTGTCAACCGCAGTTCAACACATCCATACAATACAAGACGTCTGGAATATCATTCACACATAGTACATCCATAAACAAACATAATGTAAAAACATTCATTTAAGCAGCGAAAACAATATTACAAGTGTTCAAGCCACACTTGGCATAACTGGGCATATAAGCCTCCAAACTAATTATTTAGAAAATAATATCCATGAGCATTATTTGAATTGTTTTCAAAACAGAAACGGAAGAAGTACGAACCACGTCTTCTTCCTTTGATCTTCCCGAAGCAACGAGCGGTGGCAGCAACCTTCAAGTTCTATCTGAAACTGTGAGGTGGCCTCCCCCGTGAAGGGGGGGTCAGTATTTGGAAGCATTTGACAAGTACAATGACAACTATACTAAATATAATCAATGTTTCAATTTCTAAGACCCTCAATCCAGGGTGATAATATATTATAGGCCATAACCCTCGGTTACCCCTTTTAAAATTTATACTTACTGTATATAAAGTCAAGTGGTCGGCCCATGGACCCATATTCATTTAGAATTTATCATTTTAATTCCCCGTGACTACAAGTCACGACAACCCCCTAGGGTTCCCTCGAGTCCCGATTGTATAGCAAGGGCTCGGCCCAACTACATTTCTATACAACCCTTCAACTCAATTTAACACATTAAAATTGTATGGCAATGGCTCGGCCCAACTACGTTTCCATACTAACCATAACTTCGTGGCAAGGGCTCGGCCCAACTACGCTTCCGCGAAGATCACAAATACATGGCAAGGGCTCGGCCCAACTACGTTTCCATGCTAATCACATTACATGGCAAGGGCTCGGCC